TGTCTTCCAAATACATATTTTTAGTCTAGTCTCTCATCTGAGCTTCAGTCCTACATCTCCAACTGCCTGCTGGACATTTGCACCTAAAGAGTTTATGTCAGAGCAAACACTGACTAAAATGAAAATACTAGGAGAAAACTCCCATTTGAAGTACACAAGAAAAGGCACTAAATTCTGATTTAAAAGAGGTGAGCTTGAGCAGATGGCAGAACCCATAGAGATGGTCCAGTAAAATTAAGGCACATATGGCTGGGATTCAGGGCACAATGGCAGTCTGCAAACCAAGAAAGAACACTGCCCCAAGAGACCTGGATTCTCATTACATCTCTGGTGCTAACTCACTATATGGCCCTGGATAAGTCACTTCATCTCTCTGAGTCTGAATTTCCTTGTTTATAAACTGAGGTAGCTAAATGGATTTAAACATTTATGACATTGACATGTATAAAGTTCAGAAACAGAAAACAAAAACTATAAGATCTCAACAGTAAATGGACAAAGAACACAAACAATTCACAAAAAAAGGACAAAGTGCCAATAAACAAACAGAAAACAATCCATTCTATACAGCAAATGAAAACAAGATGCTATTTTTACCCAGTAAGTTAGTAAGATTTTAAGAAAACTGTAGCAATGTAAATTGGAACAGTATTTCTAAAAATCTAAGATTCAGAAATGGATCAGGACAGGAGATGCATACACAGGAGTTTTCTGAATTAAGGCCTCAGTTAAGCTGGAGAAGTGGACGGCTTCTGGCTAAGTGCTCTAAAGCAGCAGCCAAAGACTGAGGTCTGAGCTTTCTGGAAAAGTACCTCCTGTGAGAGGATGGGGGACAAAGACGGAAGAAACAGAGAAAGGCGAGAAACAGGAATAAAGAAAGCTAGAAAGCGCCATGGAGAAAATCTTGTTTGACCCTGTCATTTTCAATTTGATGAACATATCCTGAGCATCTGTTATATGCCACACTAATGCTTGAAATGCATTGGTGAATAAAATATATTGCATGGTCTTGCTGGCATAGAGTTACTGTACAGTAAACAAAAAATAACTCAGTAAATAATTAAATAAGTAATTACAAACTCAGATAAGGGCTTGAAGGAACTAAACATTTAAAAAATAGATAAAGAACTGGCAACAAGTTCAGTATCATTCATATTGACAGAAAAGAGAGTAATCAATGGTCTCAAGTTCACGGTTCTGGGAACATGAGAACTGAGATAAGACTACTGGATTTGGATAGAATGAAATCTCTTGTGTCCTTAGAGAGAAGAATAGTGTTTGTGGGAGAAGCCAGCATGGAAATAATTTAATGAAGGAGGGGAAGGGGCAGAAATGGGAGTTGTGATTATTAATCATATTTAAAGGAATTTGGCTATAAAAGGAAGAAGTGAAACGAGGTATCTGGAAAAGATGGCAGACAATTAAACGAGAAGATTTAAGTGTATCCGAAGGTAGAAAGAGAGAGCCAGTAAAGGGGGTATGGGTGACAACAAAATGAGAGGCATCATGGCATCCTCATCTCCACAGTCAATCCTTACCAAGTCTGGTCCATTCTCCCTGATAAGGTCTCCCTACGAACCTGTCACTCAACAGGTTAGGTTCTTTCCTATTTTAAAAATTAGAACTTTCTTCAATTCCACATTCCTTTCTGATATTGCCACCTCTCTCTTTCCTTTCAATACCAAACTTCTTGAAAGAGTTGTCTGTTTTCACAGTTCATTTCCTTACCTCCTTCTCACTCCTCAAGCTTCTGCCCTTAACCTTGCTTTTGAAACTGTCCTTACCAAAATCATTAATGACCTTACTTTGTAAAATCCAACGTGCAATTTTTAGAATTCGCTTCTTTGGCCCTTTGACAACGATGGACACTGCTGACGAATCTCCTCTCAGAAGCCCTCCTTCCCATTCCATGACAGCGTTCTCTCCCATTTCCCTGCTCACACCTTCTCCATTTCCTGTGAGCCTCATATATTGACATGCTTCAGGATTTGGGACTTGGCTCTTTTCTTTTCCAAAATACTCTCCCCAGGCAACTGCCTCAGTTTCTAACTATATGCTGATGATGACTCTCAAGTATATATTTACTGTCCCTCCTTAGCTTTAGCCTTGTACATCCAACATTCTGTTGGACATTTCCTCTTGGATGTCCCACAATAGTGGGACACTAAAGAAACTGCCCAGAATTTTTTGAGAGACAAGGAGACATATGAGCTAAGGGGCATGGAAAATAAAAGATCTAACAAATTTCTAATTGTAGAATGCCAGAACAAATAAATAGAGAGAATAAAGGAGACGTGCTTTTGAAGAGATAATGGTTGTAAAACTTCTACAAATGAACATAAATCTGCAGGTCCAGGAAGTAGAATATATCTAGGTTAAATTAAAAGAAATACATGCTGTGATAGCCTGTCTACAAGATAGCCCCCAATGATCCTCACCTCTTTGTATTCATAACCCCTGTGTAGTTGTCTCCCAACTGTACCCAGGCTGGTCTGTGTGATCAACAGAATATAATAGAAGTGATGGTATGTTACTTCTAAGATTAGATGATAAAAGACACTATGGTTTCCATCTTGGTTATTCTCTCTCGGATCACTTATTCTGGGGAAAGTCAGCCACCATGTCATGAGCAGCCCTATGGGGAGACCCAGGTGATGAGAAACCGAGGCCTCCTACCAGCAAACCCATAAGTGAGGAGTTAGGAGCAGATCTTTAAGCCCTGGTCAAGCTTTCAGATGACTACAGTCCCAGCCAACAGTTTGACTATAACCTCTTAAGAGACCATGAGCCAGAAGCACCCAGATAAGCAGCTCCTTGATTCCTGACCCTCAGAAAACCTGTGTGAGATAACAGACACTTAAGCTGCTAAATTTGGGCATAATTTTTACACAGGGACAGGTAACTAATACGCATGCTAAGACCAAACAGTTTTGAATGGCTTACAAAGAGTCTTCTCCATCTGGTCCAGACTCTGTCTCCAGCTTATTACATTTCAAGTACACAAAACTTCTTTTAGTTTTTGCAGTGTACCGTGTTCTCTCCCACCTCCAGCCCTCTGTACAGCTCACGTGATATACCCAGGCCTGACACATTCTTTAACATCTTTTCTACTCCCAACACATATACTCCTTGGGCTAACTTCTCCTCATCATCAGAGCACTCATTGCATTGTATGATAAAGTCTTGTTAAATTGCCTGTCCTTCCATTAGACTGCAGGCTCCAAAAAGGTGGGACAGTATCTGTCTCCTTCATCATTATGTCAGCATAGTTCCTAGCACAAAGAAGGTACTCAGTAAATATTTGTCCCTTACAGCCCACAGGATAGGGACAGGCAGGAGGCTAAAGGTGGAAGAATGTAAACATTCTCAGGCAATGATCCAAATGAATCTTCAGGCTAGCAACTGACCAAGGAACCCGTATATTCCATACAACCTCAGGTTATGGAAAGGCCTGGGATAGGGTCAAGACTCAAAAGTTGGATGGTTTCCAGCTCCTCTTAAGTTATACCCCCTTGTTGTGGTTTCATTATGATTCTTGAATTGGAATCTCTGAACATCAGACACACCCTTTCTTGAAAGCATATTCACAATGGTACTCAAAGGACAAATAGAAATGATTTTTTAAAAATTGTCATCTGTTCTGTATTTGTAGGACAATTCCAGACTATTATGTTGATATTTAAGATCTGATTGTAAGTGGTATTTGTGGTGTGCCTAAATATGAACATATACATACACATATGTACACGTATACATGTCATAAAATATTAACCACTAGTACCCTCTACTGGTGGAAATACCTTATCTGCTCATATGAATGGTCTTATTGCCCTCTAGTGACCACAACCTATAAAGAGAAAATCTAGCAGCAGATGGGAGACTCTCCTTGGCTATAATGATAGGGTTTTATGTTCTTTAAGCATCTAATTTTCTCAGATTCTGGTTTATATTACAGGGGTGCAACTCTCAAGACTCTTGGGGGAACCTCTGGGGAATTTCACACAGCTCTTGCCAGCTGTTAGCGCCAGTCTGAAGCTGCTTTCTCTCCTGCTTCTCATGAACAAGAGGTCAAGGGGAGGCAGAGAAGGCAATGGCTGCACTGGTGAGGGCAAGAACAGCAGCTGTGAACGACTACCCTGGACTCCCTGGGGACTTGGGAGCAGCTTGAGGAACACATGTTGGCCCTCCCTCGCATATTATTCACAGTTGTGTACTGTACTAAAATGGTAATTCAACGTAGTTCCTGACTTACCTCTTAAAATATCTCCAATGCTGTAATAAATGATGTAGCAGCAAATGTTGCTATTATTTTGTTTTTACAAACCATGCTTTGGAAGTTATTTCTACTCAAGACGGAAAAGCCAAGATTTAAGTGAAATGTCGCCTCTTCTATGGAGCCTTTTCTGAATTCCCCAGATGTAAGACTACTCTGTGGTCTGTGCCAGCATATACCTTGTACAGATCAGAATGGTACCATGGACAGTATTTATATGCTTTTATTTTTAACCTATATTATTTTACTACTCCCATTTGTCAACCTGCTTGTTTCTCCACCAAACCCTAAGTTCCTTGAGGTCACAAATCATGTCTTCTTCATTTTTGCACACCCAAGCATCAAGCACACTCAAAACGTTATCCACAGATCACGCTAGTTACAAGTTCATGCAGTAAGTACAGAAACTGAAGCAAGCATTTAAAACTTTGACAAAGTACTTCTACTTTCTTCTACAAAGTACTTCTACTTCTACTTCTATAAAAATTGTTATAATTTTTTTAAAAAGTAGGGCTTACATTTTGTATATTTTAATTTCATTTTTCTGGTAATTTTTATTATATTTTAAAAGTATTAGTCTGTAACCAATGGAGAATTTTTTAAACAATGATCTCTTACCACAGATAGTTTGAGAAGCACTGATATGATAGATAATGTCTGAGGGAGGGAGGAAAGGAGAAAGGAGGAGATAAAATATAAGCACTTATAAAATTCGGAAGGAACATACCTATCCTTGTTGATTTTAACACTTCCTTGGAGGGTATTTTCTTCTTTAATTCTCGTAAGGCTTCAACTAGATTCTCTTTGGTTTGATCAGGAAGCTCCAACATAGTTTTCCATCTTTTTATGTCTTCTATAACCACAACTCTCTGAGAAAAAGAAAAGTCATTTGGAAAATGGAACATTTTCATTAGAAAGACATCTGCCTTCACCTGAGTTAATGGGGCTCCTATTGACATATGAATTATTGATTATGACCTGAACCAAAGCACAATATATGTGATGGCCCCAAATGATGGGTAATTGCTTAAAAGCAGCTCCTGCTTACTGCAAATCAGGAAGAGGGTTACATCTATTAGGAAAAGTGCAAGTTTTAATCTTACCATGTCAGACACCACTGGGCACTTAGCACTGAGAGGCAGTAAGGAGGGGAAGAAAAGAAAAACGATGCTGAGGTGAATCAACCTTATAGCTCACTTAAGTATCTTAATTCATAGGCAAGGACAGAGAGCAGAGAAGTCATAAAGACATATTTATTTCAACAATAAAAAGCACACTTCAACAGCTCCCTACCTCCTAGATGGTAAAACTCAAACCCTCTCATTTGAAGAATTTTTTAAAACTTTAAACACATAAAAAGGTAGAGAATAACTCACTATTTATAATGAAAAAAGGTTAACATTTTGTCATTACACATAAAATAATAAAACACTGTAAAGTTCAAGTCTCCTTACACCCTTCGCCCTTCATTCCCTTCCTTCCGTTTCTAGAAGAAACCACTATCTTAAAGTTGACACGAATCTTACCATTAAGTGTACAATATTAACAATTAAGGAATCTGGGTGAAAGGGATGAGGAAGGTCTTTGTACTGTGTTGCAACTTTTCTGTAGTTTTGAAATTATTTCAACTAAGAATTTTTTTTTAAGTAAACAGGGAGACAAAAAAATAAAGTCGCTTTTATAATTGCACACAAAAAAATTTTTTCTTGCTTTTATCAATATTACCCTGGGGAGGTGGGCCCGGGTAGGGACTGGGAAGGGGCACAGGGGCCTCTGATAAATGTCCTGTTTCTCGATCTGGATACTGGTGACACAGGTGTGTTCTCTCTGTGAAAATCTGTTAAGACGTACATATTTGTCTACTTTTCTACATGCATGTGATATTTCAATAAAAAGCAACCCAAAAAGTCTCAACTCCCTCCCTGGCTGGGGTCTAGCCTAGCTGCCCGTGGTGGGAGAAGGGGATGTCTGGGGACTTCTCTATTTCCCCACCTCTGCTTCTCCTCCTCCCCCATCTGCTTGTTTGCTGTGGTCTTTGGCCCTTCCAGGTTCGAAACTGGGAAAAAAAGCAGTAGTAAGGGAAAGCAGAAGCCTTATTTTTGGTTGTGATGCTACGCTCATCAGGTTTCAGTGCTCTCTAGACTTGGCAGATATTCAGGAGATGTTTTTGTGGTTCCGTGGAGAGCTCCCATGGTTGAGATCTCACCTGCAGTTCCCACAACACTAGCAAGGCCTCTTCCAGCCAGCGGCTTACAGGTCCACCCTAAGTCTCCAGTTTCTGGCAACTGCTTCACCCACTCTCTGTAGGGGTCCCACTGCCCTTCCAAGGATCCTTGTGAACTGTGCTCCTTTAATTCAACTCCAGGCCAGTTAGCATTTTCTCCACTATGCCCACATCTTTGCCCTGAAAAACTCTGTGCATAACAGCTTTCCCACAGCAACCACTTCTCCTTCTTGTGGCATCAGTTGCCACCCTGTTTTTAGACTTTCCCAGGCACAGGTCTGGTCTCTGTGTCCACCAACTCCAGGAACTGAGGTCACGTTCTCCAAGTGAAAATACCATAGCCCTCCCACTTTATCCAAAGGAATTCTATCTCCTCTCTTTCTTTACCTTCAACCTTCTTTTTTTTTTACCTTCAACTTTCTTTATTGCCTACGGTAGGTGATAGGTTCAGGATTCCAAAACTGGTCTTCATTATCTGCCTTCACAAGTTCTGTATAGATGGTCTAGAATAACATTTGGGAACACCATTTTATAGCTATTCCTTTGTTCTCAGCCTTTAGGAGCCCTAGCCAAAATTGAGACAGAGCCCTTTTTTATGATCTGTTACAATATAAAATAGTATTAGTGTTAAATGGTATGACAAATAAATCGATGAAGCCAGGTAAGGGATATTTTCAGTAGGAAGAAGGTGTAAATATAATATTCTGCAGCTTGCTTTTTTCACTCAGTATAATTTCTTGATTTATCCATACTGATACGTATAAACCCAGTTGATCTATTTTAATAGTATTGACTATTATTCCATTATTTTTATATACAATGTCTTAGAATTTTAAAATCTAGTCCCTTAATGGATATTTAGGGACTTTTTCCCCCCTCACATTTTCCCTATTATAAACATTGCTTCAATGAACTCCTGCCTATTATACACTCATATGTCTTCCATCCTTTACTTTCAACTTTTTTCTGGGTCATTATGCTTTAATAGCCTATGGCTGCTTTACTTTGCTCCTCCTCCCCTATCCAATCTGAGAGTTTCTTTTAATAGGCATGTTTAATCCATTTGCATTTATTATGATTACTGATACACTGGACATACTTTCTCTTTGCTTTTTTCTTCTTTTCTTATCTTTTATTTAACAGCCTGAGTTTTCTTTAATCTTGTTTTTTCTTTTATGGCTTGGAAGTTATACATTCTATTTCTATCATTTTAGTGTTTGCCCTTACAAGTTTTAAGATACTCAATGAAATCTATACCAGTATCCTCCTCACAAGTCTCTACCTTCTGAAACGCTTATTAGAAATATACATGGTCTCTGCCTGTCCTTCAAGTCTCTTAACTTGTCATATTTCTATTTCTGTGGGATGCATTCTAAGTGATTTACTCAGATCTAGCTTTCAATTCAGCATTTCTCTCCACAGCTATGACTTACCTACTTTTAACCTGTTCAATGTGTTTCTTTGTCAACAAATATGCTTTTTCATTGGACAAATTGTTTTTTTCTCTAAATCTGCCTGTTTTCTTTTCATACTATCCTATTCTTATCATTTCTATTACTTTCATTATCCTGTGAACATTTTAAACATATTTAAGGTCTCTTTCAGACTGTTATCTCCGCTTCTTGGAGTAGAAATTCTATTATTTACATCTGCCTGCTCATCCTCCCTCCTGGTAATTTATTTTATTGTAGAGTTTTGTAATTTTTGACCATGAATTCACCTTTAATGGAGACTGTTTTCCACAGGAGACCTGTGTACTCTAGGTTGTGAAGTGTCTTAACAGGGAAATCTCACCTTTGCCTTTGCCAAGGCCTTTGGATTTCCCTGGTTCTGGGCCAGTTTTCATGTTAATTTTTCAGCTTTGCAGATAGCACGAAGTTAAAAATATATATACACACATAGTAATAAGTGTGAGGTTCTAATTTATTATGGTCAACTCTTCTTGAACTCAAACCCTGAGATGATACAATCTTCATGCTGATTCCTTGGACTGGTGGATGGAATTTTTCTAGTTCATTTTTCAAAAGCATAGTAGCCCTGTGTTGACTCCCAGCTTCATGTGGCCTGAAGCCTTATCTGCTGTCCCCATACTGGCCCTAAAACCCCAGCCCCTAAACTCTGTACCTGGTTTGCATGGAACTATATACAAGCATACCCTGTTTTATTGCACTTCACTTTATTGTACTTTGCAGATACTGCATTTTTTTTTTTTTAACAAATTGAAGGTTTGTGGCAACCCTGCAATGAGCAAGTCTACAGATGCTGTTTTTCCAACAGCATTTGCTCACTTTGTGTCTCTGTGTCACATTTTGGTAATTCCTGCAACATTTCAAACTTTTTCCATTATTATTATATTTGTTATGATCTGTGATCAGTGACCTTTGATGTTACTATTGTAATTGTTTTGGGGTGCCACAAACCATGCCCATACAAGACAGCAAACTTAACTGATAAATATTCTGACTGTTACACCAACCAGCCATTTCCCCATCTCTCTCCCTCTCCTTGGGCTTCCTTGTTCCCTGAGACACAACAATATTGAAATTAAGTCAATTAATAGCCCTACAATGGCCTCTAAATGTTTAAGTGAAAGGAAGAGAAACATGTCTCTCACTTTAAATCAAAAGCTAGAAATGATTAAGCTTAGTGAGGAAGGCATGTTGAAAGCCGAGACAGGCCAAAAGCTAGGCATCTTGCATCAAATAGTTAGCCAAGTCATAAATACAAAGGAAAAGTTCCTGAAGGAAATTAAAAGTGCTACTCCAGTGAACACACAAATGATAAGAAAGTAAAACAGCCTTATTGCTTACATGAGAATGTTTTAGTGGTCTGCACAGATCAAACTAACTACATTCCCGGGGAGGGGGGGTGATGGTGTGATGAATTGGGAGATTGGGATTGACATATATACACTAATATGTATAAAATGGATAACTAATAAGAACCTGCTGTATAAAAGATAAATAAAATAAAATTCAAAAAAATAAAGAAGTATAATTGATAAGTTAAGAAAGGAGAGAAATCAGAATCATAAAAAAACAAAAAAACTAACTACAACATTCCCTTAAGCCAAAGCCTAATCTAGAGCAAGGCCCTAACTCTCTTCAATTCTATGAAGGCTGAGAGAGGTGAGGAAACTGCAGAAGAAAAGTTTAAAGCTAGCAGAGGTTGGTTCATAAGGTTTAGGGGAAGAAGCCGTCTCTATAACATACAAGTACAAGGAAGCAGCAAGTGCCTAAGTAAAAGCTGTAGCAAGTAATCCAGAAGATCCATCTAAGATAATCAATGAAGGTGGCTACACTAAACAACAGATCTTCAATGTAGACAAAACAGCCTCATATTGGAAGAAGATGACATCTCGGACTTGCATAGCTAGAGAGAAATCAATGCCTGGCTTCAAAGCTTCAAAGGACTGGCTGACGATCTTGTTAGGAGCTAATGCAGCTGGTGACTTGAAGTACAAGCCAATGCTCATTTGCCATTTTGAAAATCCTAGGGCCCTTAATAATTATGTGAAATCTACTCTGCCTGGGCTCTATAAATGTAACAACAAAGCCTAGATGACAGCAAATTTGTTTACAACATGATTTACTGAATATTTTAAGCCCCCTGTCGAGACCTATTACTTCGAAAAAAGATTCCTTT